ACATATCTGAAACGGTTGGGAACCTCTATGTACAATTATTGTATTCTTGTTAGAGGTGTATTAATTATATTTTTATTTATAAAAATAAAATTTTTGTACAATTATTGTATTCTTGTTAGAGGCGTATTAATTATATTTTTATTTATAAAAATAAAGTTTTTTAATATGTATATTGAGAGTACTATGAATGTATTAATTACATACCTTTTTATTATTTTTATAGAAAAATAAAATTAATTTTAATTTTTTCAGTTGTTTAATTAAAAACATATATGTATTATTGATATTAAAAATAAAATTAACTTTTGTGTTTTCTTTTATAATTTTTCTAACATATATCATTAACTCACAAGTTAAAGATGTAATTAATGTATTTTTAACTTTAAGTCATATAAAAAACAAAAAAAAAATGATATTTATTTTAACACCAATTCCACTTGTATCTAATTGAGTAATTGTTAAAATTAAAATCAACATTTATATTTTTTTTATCAACATTTATTTATTTTTATATAACTTAAAAGTTTAAAATATACAATAATTATACTCTTAACTGATATTCTAATGTATAAATTAAAAAAATCATTAATAAAAAAATACAATTAATATCCCTTAATATGTACATATTAAACAAATTTTTATTTTTATTATTAATATCAATTAATGTTAACTTTTAATTTTTTAATAAAAATTAATTATAAAAAATATAATTAATACAGCATTAACTTGTGTTATAAATACCCTATTAAAGGTACACAAGTGGTCATCAGTTCTTCACCAATCCTGAAAGTGACGTAGTTTCAATAATATAAAACGTTTTTGCAAAGTTAGGCATTGTTTACTTTAACTTTTCTATCAATTGATAGTGATAGGCGTTAGTTGACACTAGTTTAATGTGCATTTTTCAACTTGAACTTTTTTCTACTCCTTGTTCATGCTGTTCACACTCAAATTAAGAGGTATAATAACAATATCATAAAATTTTCAAGCTATAACGTTTCTTCTAAGATTTTGCTCTTGTTCTCCCCTCTTGTTTGTGAATTGGTATTCTTTTCATGGTAAAAGTTAATATATTGATTGAAGATTCCAATAAAAGAGAAACTAAGTTAATATTTATTGTTCTCTTTTTTCATCTTTTGAACTCAATCAATATTAGTAAGAGTATTTGGTTAAACTTAAAAAGTATTTATAGTTTAAGAAATATATTTTTTTCATATATTTAAAATTTTATTAAAAAAACACTTAAAATTAATTTTTTAAGTGTATTTTAGATAAATTTTTTAAAAATTATGCATCCAATTTTTTTTTCAAAACTTGCTTAATTAATATCCACTTTAGCAAAATAATCTTTAAATTTGCTTTTAACAAAATTTTAAACTTATAAACTATACTTTAAAACAAATACTTTTTAACATTCACTAAGCGGCGATTAGTATATTTGAAAAAAACCTTTTAAAAAAAATTTCAAATACTTGCACTAATGGGAGTAGTGGGGTGAGCACAAAGCAAACTTTTTTCGTTGTAATTTTTATATAATATTAAAAGAGACCAGTGGATCATCATTAATCATAGAATATGTGTAACAACATAATATTTTTGTTTAGCTAGGAATTGATTCTAAGAAAGCAATTACAAGGCACCTGGCCCTTCGAGCTAAGTGATTTTTGGTCACATAGTGGTGCACCCTCCCTTCTCTCTTGGACGAATTCGAACCTGTCCTATGACACTTTGTTCAAAAAAAAGAAAAAAGAAAAAAAAGAAAGCAATTACAAGGAAACATCTAAAACTAATGCGACTAATTGTCATTGAGTACCATTAAAGAAGAGCTAGAAAATGGAATCAACTCTGCAGATGCAATGATTCTTCTGAGTCTTTTAACATTATAAAGAATAACAAATAAAGCTAGAAGCAAAAACCAAGTCTTTTCCAAACCGCATCAATATTAGTGGGAAAGCAATTCAAATTAATTATTTATGATCATCAAGACTTGACCAATTAAAGATAAGCATGTATATGTGTTTGGTCCCACCTTGGAATCTTATGGTTACAAATAGACCAAAGGGTTCATCTTTTAGCATATAAATACAATATTTGACT